AAAAGCCAGATTAAGTTTAGCTCTAAATCTCTCTCCCATCCAACTCTTTTACCAGCAAAAACCAAGCAAACATACAAAAACAAAAGAAAATACACAAAGAAAAAAAACTATCAGCAAGAACAGTAAATAATCCTTGGAAATAACATAAACGGGTAAATATTACATAGCAAATTCTAACAAAGTATAAAAGGTTTACCTCAAGATTCCACATGCTTACCAAATCATCAGAACTTCTGCTAAATACAATGACAGCATCCACCAAAAAAGAAACTACAGAAGAAGGAAAAAATCTTGTATTTCTTCATCAAAATTATAGATGAGAGAGATTATGAGAAGGTGAGTATTGAAACAATATATGGCCCAATAAAGCAACTATACCATTGGTAGGCCTTATCATGGAACAGCAAGGTAACGATTCACTCTCTTGATCAACTAATCAAGATAGAGAAATACCAAGCCCTGCCCTGAAAGAACTGACCTGCACATTTCTAAACTAGACTGGTTTAACACATTGACTGCCACACTAGCAACATTTTTTTTTCCCCTTGGGGCCACAGTGTTTTATTACAAAAATAGAATAAAAACTTTGAAAACAAAACGATCCTTTCCAATTTAATGAAAAATTTGTTATTTTTATTGTTTTCTGTGTTTTTTTCAATAAAAAGTAATATAAAAACTTGAAAATTAGTAATGTAAAAAGTAATGTGAAAACTTGAAAAATAGTTCATAAGGGTAAAGTGTTTTTCTTGACTTGTTAGTCTTAAGTGTAATTTAAAGGTAAATATAAATAGAAAAACAAAATTTATTGACTATTCCTTTAATCCATATTTTTATAATTAAATTGTCAATATTAATTGTAACAATAAGAACATCAACAAGTAAGATTTTCACAAATCAATTGCAGAGTTTTACCCAGGTTTTGCTTCACAAGGCCCAGGGCTCAAAACTAGAGTCAGTTAACTACAACTCACATGGTAGTTAATGTTTTAAAGAAAGATAGACTTGGAGAAACTGAGAAGGCATCTGTGCCAGGAAGGGGCCGGCCCTTCTGATCCCTCCGCCCATGTATATCCCAAATAAACTTGGTGAAAGCGTACAAGAAATAAAGGTCTTTTTCCCACATTCGAGAAACAAGCACTGGTCACTATTTTCAGAACAGCCCTCCATACCCAGGGGCTGATGACTATTTAATGGTGGTGAAACAAGAATTATAGGCCTAAGGTCCATTTAAAAGCATGAAAAACTTTTGAGCTAGTAATAAGTGCATTCAACTTTGGTAGTAAAGATTTTAAGCATTTCAAGCATGGCCATAAATTTTTAGAGTGGTCTGCTTTGTTCAAGACAATATTAGAAAGGGGAAAGTTCATTTTAGCTTTCTATCTCCCTATGCTGCAAAGATCTGTTTATCTTTGTATCCACTGAGTAGGTAGTATAGAGACTTACATTGGCAGGTGTGCATTAAATGTTTGTTAAATTGAATTAATTCCTACCACAATGCTCATCTCAGTTGTTTATTTTTACCCCTTACTCCTCAATATCCAATCAGTTACCAAATTCTAACTATTCTACTTCTGCCAGGTCTCTCACATCAGGCATCTCTTTCTTCCCCTTCTGTCCTAGCTCAAACATCTCACTATTTCCACTAATACAACAGTCTCCTATCTGATATTCCCTACCTTCAGTATCTCCCCCACTCCAATTCATCCTATACACTACTATCAGTTATTTTTCAAAACACAAATCTGATAAAGTCATTCATGTCATCAAAAACCTTCAGCAGCTCCCATTTATAAAATAAAATTGAACCTTTAAAATGGCTTTAAAAGTCCCACACGAACTGGGCCTAGCCTATCTTTAATACATTCCTTATTTTATCTCATACCATATCCCTGCTCCCACACCACAGATTTATATCATAGCAGTATCAGATTCCTCCTTCTTTCAGAACACCTTCATACCTTTGTTTATGTTGTCCCCACCAACCTGAAATATACCCCTGTCATCTCTTTCTGTGAAAATATTGCCACTCTCTAATGCCCTGCTCAAATTCCCCCTCCTTTGCAAAGCCATACCAGATCCATCCCTAAACCATCATCATCACCACATTACTGATGGTCTTGTGTTTTATAATAATAATTTCCACACATGCCTGTCTTAAAACTGTGGAAGTAGGGTGGGATTCTGTGGTATATTTTTAGGCATTTCACATTACAGCACTATGTGCTACACTGCCTTGTACTCTCAATAAATACTTGATGGACTGAACCAATTCCTACCATCATAAGAGTTCGGAATAGAAAAAAAAAAAACAACAAAATTAAATGTCAACAAAACACCTCATTAGCCTGATATAATAAATGAATTACTTGTGTCTTCTTATCCTTCAAAGTATTTCTAAATATAACCCCATATTTTAACCTTGAATCACCCTGTGATTACAAATGTGCAGAGTGAGAGCTCCACTATACTTAGATGAAATGGTCAGATCTAGGAAGGAGGTATTAAGAAACACTGCTCATAATAGGGAAAGCTTGGGCTATGGTTGTGGCTATCTATTATAAATCCCAAGGTTTTAATATAGTGATAATAATTCAAACTTTAAGGGCAGGGAAAAAGGCATGATGACGACTATGGGAAAAGAGAAGAAACTATTGTGTACCAGAGATCTACTATGTGAAAAGCACCTTGCTAAGTTTATCAAACCCAGCGCTTTGTTTTCTTTACATAATAACATTTGATGATGGTTTTTCTCCCATTTACAGATAAAGAAACTGAGGCTCAGAAATTTTAGGTAACATGCATTGGGTCACACAGCTAGTATGAGGTGGAGGTAGGATTGGAAACCAGATTTATGTGCCTCCAAAGCTCATGTGCTTTCCTCTATTACTACAGGGTATCACAAAAACTATTAAAACTAATGGTTTTTCCCAATCTGGATGTATTTGTCATCCTGGTTAATTTTTTTTAAGTCTGTGGCTTTAATCCCAAACTGATTTTACCAGTGAATTGCATTACTCTCAAAAAACTAACTAGCTTAGCCAGGCATCGTGGCAAGTGCCTGTAGTCCCAACTACTCAATGGGCTGAAGCAGGAGGATGACTTCAGCCCAAGAGTTTGAGGCCAACCTGGGCAGCATAGCAAGACCCTGTCTCAAGGGGGAAAAAAACTGACTTGCTTAAACAAAAGTAGCACTAAGGAAATTACGCAAAAAAACCAGAGTTTTAATATGATATGCAATTTGAAAACTATATAATCAACTCCCCCATTAGGAAGTACGCACTCCCTGACCAAAATAAATAAATAAATAAATAAACTGTAATGTTCATGGCACTAACTTGTGAAAAGTTTATATTACTCGAACAGGCTGGTCATTATGACCAATACTCATGCCCAGAATGACGAACACTCATGCCACCTTAAGTAATGCCTCTTACCTGATCCTGACAGAATCCAGGCAAGATGGAAGATTGTGGCTGCCAGAGGGGCGATACCCTTTGAAGTTCCTATTCCCAATAGACCTAATTGAGACAGTCCCTGCAAGAGCTCTCACAACCAGAGTTTCCTGCTTACACTATTTCCCCTCTTTCAAAAACTCTCTTACCAGGAGCCAAAAGAGCCCAAGTTTCCCTTTTTCAGGCTCATTTTCCACCTCTCACTGAAACCAAGCTATTTTTTGGTTGAAACCTCAACACATTTTACCACAGAACAATTTCACAAACAGTAGTTAGGCTCTTCATCATTACGCCTTGCTATTGTGTACTAAGCTAAAAATGTAACTACTCTTAATAAGTTTTTCCCATGGGAGAACATGTTAAGCGTTTCAAACAACCAACTCACACACTTCTGAACAATAATTCAAAGGTTAACAACTACCCATGCAAGCAAGACAGGTAAAAGATACAAGAGACTCCAAAATATATGGTAGTGTCTATAATCTTTAATCTTACCAGGATTAACACACACATAAATTGACAGAAATTATCTGCTTTGACATTAAAGTTAACAGATTCTTACCTAATTTTTAAGGATTCCAGCACATTTTAAAAATATATATTCTACAATGAAAACACTCTTAGTCATAAAAACTATCACAATTGAGGGTTGTAAAGCTCATACTCAAAGTTAACATTTTTAAAGCCAACATCAACAAACAGGTAATTAAAATTAATATAAATTCTCAAAAGTAAAATTGTTTCCTTCTTATCAAAATAATATAATTAAAACAAAACTTTTCTAAGTACTAAGGTGGGTCTGTTCAAATGTAACATTTAGTTTTCACCTAGAATATTTTTAATTAAGTCACTTGCAGGGTTAAATCTAACCAATCATAACTGTTTTAGAGAAAGAAGGCAGAAATACTATCTTCACCACATTACCTTCACCTTTCGTTTTACTTCATAGGGATTAACAATTTCCACTCGAGTATTTTTCCAAATTGCTGAGGTAGAGAGACCCATTGTTAAATCTCTACAATACCTAAAACATACTGCAAACAATAAAAAAAAAACCATATGTGGTAATTACAATTTAAAACATACTGCATTCAAAGTTAACAAAATAATAAAATTGTAGGCATGCGAAAGGCTTCCCACCTCCCATCCCATCCTTATATCAAAGCATTTAACTGTTTTTATAAACTAAACACCTGTGACTGTAAGTCAATAGATTACATACATGAATAAAAGAAAATTCCTGTCCCCTTCAATAGACTTGCTAGAAAATTCATGCAAGCAGTTAGCATTCCCACATTTCAAGAAGAAATTAACTTCTCCTCATTTACCCCATTCATAAGAGATGTAGAATATTAAAACATATTTCAGAATTTGCTAAATTTACTAATAAAATATTCCTATAAGTGTAGAGGGTTCAACTTTAGGGTACTTCTGAATTTATTTCCACTTCATTTCTTGTTACATGTTATTCTAGCATGTAATCTTAACAACAGCTTAGTTGAAAAATGTTAAAAGAAAGAAAAAAGAACAAGGTAATCATACAACAGTCCAAGCGTATTCTTAAAGGATGGAGCAATTACTTGAACACAAAGTTGCACCCTTGATATGTTGAGGATTGTGAGTCTTACCTCAAAATATCCTACTGTGAATCAATTTGACATTCACCAATTATTTTTAGGAGGTGTATGGTGGCCTCTACTGGAGTAGTACGCAGTCGATTATGTTATCACAAAAGGATCCGACTTTCTATCACAAAAGACACGTTTTTGTTTTTAAATGCTGCCCGGTTTTTTTTTAACAACAACAATAAAAACAAAGTACCTGTACACATCTAAGTTTTCATAGCACAGCTGCCCAAAGCCCAGCCAGAATAGTTTCAGAAGTAAGAAGAGTGGGAAGAGAGGAGAACCAATATATTTTGGTTGAACCTCGCTAAGTCTTACCAAAGATTCGTCTTGTAAGGGCTGGGGTTTACTTTGCGTCCTCTTTTACCGGCCAACGGGGCGGGGACAGTGGTTGGGAAAAGGAGAAGGGGCGGAGGCAAAGGGCAGTAGAATGAAGGGGACGGGAGAAGAGGCAGCAGAACATCACCTGAAGCCTGGCGACTGGAGATAAGTCGCCAGTTCAAGTCGACTTGAGCATTACAAATAATTCTAACAAGCCACAGAGAATCAAGAAAGCTAATTTACCAGGGAATACTCAACCCTAATATGCAAATGTCCCCAGAGTTACTTAGTCACCTTGCTGTGGTTTTTGTTGCGCTGGGTTCCTATAGCGCCTGGGGCTCGACAGCGAGCTGGAGTCCGCAGCTGTCCCCCAAAGTGTTCCCAGCGAGCAAACCGGCCGCAGCGGAGAAAGAGGGATGCGCGGAGTCAGGGGCGGCACCCCGCGCGTCCCCCAGTCCCACTTCGGGTCAAAAAGTGAAGAAACTTAAGTCACAACAACTCCAGCGTGCCCGCGAGGCAGGCGCTCCGCCCAAGGCCGAGCTCGGGCCCCAGCTGCACTTATTCCGCACGCCCGAGCCCGCCGTCTCGTCCCCGCCCGCTCCCCAGCGAAAACGCAGTTGAAGCAGCCTCTAGGCGGCTTGCCCTGGAGCCCCGCTCCCCAGCCCCACACCCCTTCTCTCTCGGCCCCCGGGCAGGGTCCTGAGGGGAAGGAGGGGGATTGCCCCAGCCCGTTCGGCCACCACACTAACCTCGCCGCTGCTCGCGCCGCCGCCGTCGCGGAACACCTCCATTTCTTGGTCCCAGGGCTCGTCCTGAGGAGCGAACGGTAGCATCGCCCCTTCAGGAGCACTCGAATAGGAGCTGTCGACCGGCGCGGCGGTGCATCCCGTCTATTGAATTGGCCCGCCGCCGCTATGACCCCCGCAGCCCCTCCTCAGCGACCGCTGTCCTCGCCGCGGGGTCCCTCAGAGGCTGGGAGCCGGGGGTCGCCGCCGCCGCCGCCGCGGAAGGCTGCTGCTTCCCATAGAGAAGACAACTCTGTGCTGCCTCTCTGAGAGTTGCCGCTCAGCTCGCGCTCAGCAGTGCCGCTGCCGCCGCGACGGCCGCTCAGCAGTGACTCCCCCCCACCCCGCTTCTTCGGGCCCCCTCCCCGCCCCCAACTCTGTCAATATGGCGGCAGCAGCGGAGTTACCTGTGCGGCGCCCGGAACCCCCTACGGCGGCAGCACAACAGCGTCACCCAAACGTCAATGGAGATTCCCCACCCTGGGATGAACGGG